GTTGTTGTTTTTGTTGTTGTTGTTACGGCTTACGATCGCATGACATCGTATCGATTAGTATAATTTCTCTAATTCACGAACATTTCTTAAACATTGTTTAACGCACTGATAATAGGACATTTTGTTGGCGTTTTTACATAAATAATTATTAACGTCGTGAGATAATCTCAACTCGAAATATTAATTAATATTAACGTGTGTGTTATATCGAAGCTTAGAATGCGCGATAGATCGTTCTTGTATGTTTTTGTCTGTAATTCATTATCTTGATCAGTGGTTATTATCCCTTGTGATACAAATTAATCGTTTCGTTCATTCAATCTTCTTTTTTTTTTTTTCTTTTAACTTATTGTTAGATCGACATGTAATATCCACGTTTCGAAGGACGCAAGGTCTAACACATATATACACGCACGCATACACGCAAAACACACGCATACATATGTATTCTCTTTCTCTTTCTCTTTTTCTCACAAGTCCAGTCGGCCGTTCGCCCCGTTATCGACTTTCTAATATTAATATCCGCTTTACCGATGACGTAGAGTCACGTTATACTACTACGTCCTTATCGTCGACGTCGCGTTTCTCGAACGTCTCGTTTACCGCTATCTCGGCTCATCTTATTACGTAAAACGCTCAAACGCATTCCATTCTATTTAAGGAAATGATTTTTTAATTAAACTTATTTCACTTTTCATAAAACCTCAATTATATATCGTTTACCTCATTTAGGATATATATATCCTAAATATATATATATATATATATATATATATATATATATATATATATGTATATATTTTTTTTTTCATTGGAAATTAACACGATTAGAAAGAAAAAGGAACTATCAAGAGAAGATTCGTATCCTGGTATCCTTCGAAACGTCGATATATTTCACATAAATCTCATTAAATCACATATTCTTTTTTTAATTTTGATCTCATACTCATAATCGTACGAAGTAACACCGATCAAAAGGATCTCCTTCCTTTGACGATTAACGACATATTTATTATTCTCATAATAACGTATGTATGTATGTATGTATGTATGTATGTATGTATGTATGTATGTATGTATGTATGTATGTATGTATGTATGTATGTATGTATGTATGTATGTATATATATGTATTTATGTATGTATGTATGTCTCTAAAACGAAAGACCATTTTTTCTAAATAGTTTTGGCACAATTCACGAGTCACCTTCTTCATTTCTTCATAGATTAATTAATCGTAGATCCAAATATTTCATTCGTCATCGGAATACTATAGAATTTATCAGAAACCAACACTATAACTTTATTAGCGGATTCATTCTTCATAGATTAATTAATCGTAGATTCAAGTATTTCATTCGTCATCGGAATACTATAGAATTTATCAGAAACCAACACTATAACTTTTGTTACCGGATTCGTACGTTTCCAGTTTTAAGGGAGCAGGTCAAGGAGGCCTCGCGATTTGACCTGAAAGTAACCGGTAACAACTATGTACCCTCGATTCGTCTTCCTTCGCAAACAATCGCGACACGATCTCATTATTTAGGATTTTGCTTTTTGTAATGGCTTCGAACGATTAACTTTTGCCGATCACAGATTTTCACCTTCCATAATCTGCACCTTCCACCTTCCAATGTTTTCTCTTCTTCTTCTTTTTTTTTCTTTTTCTTTTTTTTTTTTTTCTTTTATTTTATTTTCGTCTTTCTTCTTTCTGTGTGTACTTCCATGTGTCTCTTCTATTTCGTTATTTCAATGTTGTAAGGTCCCACCACCAGGGCCAGGTTGAGGAACGACCGATTTGAAAATTCGGCCGCGAATCGAGAATGAGTTCTTACATTTTTTTTACTATAATCGATTGTTAATATATCATAAATCGATCATCGGGATTAAATTTTCTCTAATGTTAGAACATGATTCTCTTTTTCTCACGGACCGATTTTCTAGATTGTTGAGAGGAGCCTCTTACTACGGCGGTTCCGGCTCGGAGGTGGGGGACTCCTGCTACGCCTCCAGAAAGATTAAAGCCGTTGGTTTTGGTTCGAGGTTACTTTTCTTTGCTTCAACTACAAGAAACTCAATTTCGTTTCTATCACGACGTGCAAATGATTCGGCTATCAATCTGGCAACTTCTTGATGATGTAGACCTATCGATCAAAGTAAATTAAATTCGTTAGGAATTTATTAATGTAACAATATTGATATTGTTATAATTCAAAATGTAATAAATAATATTTTGTTTACCTTCAACCTTGTGACCATCGACCTCGAGAATAAGTTGACCAACTTCCAGTCCACCAGCTTCGTAAGCAGCTCCGTTATCCTATGGTTTTAAAGAAATATCTTTAATATCGTTCATTTAAATATAAATCAATTGGAAATTATAAAGAACATTAATTATCTAATCAACATATTATGATTATAAATCTTATCTAATATAACGATGTTAAGAAATAAAACGTGTTCATTTAATGATAATTAATTTGTTTTTTTTTTGTAT